ATATAATTTCATAAACATAAAGTCACATAACTTCACAGATATCCATGTCTGCGAAATTATATAATTTTGTAGACGTGAAATCACTTGACTTCACAGATATCTATGTCTGCGAAATTATATAATTTCGTAGACATGAAGTCACATGACTTCACAGACATCTATGTCTACAAAATTATATAATAAATTACTATATAGTTTATATAATTTCGTAAATGTGAAGTCACTTGACTTCATGGACATCCATGTTCGTGAAATTATATAATAAATTACTATATAGTTTATATAATTTTGTGGACGTGAAGTCACTTGACTTCACGGACATCCATGTCTGTGAAATTATATAATAAATTACTATATAGTTTATATAATTTTGTGGACGTAAAGTCACTTGACTTCACGGACATTTATGTTTGTGAAATTATATAATAAATTACTATATAGTGTGAGATGTATTATATAATTTTGTAGACGTGAAGTCACTTGACATCTATGTCCGTGAAATTATATAATAAATTACTATATAGTGTGAGATGCATTATATAATTTCATAGACGTGAAGTCACTTGACTTCACAGATATTCATATTCGCGAAATTATATAATTTTATGGATATAAAGTCACATGATTTCACAAATATCTATGTTCGTGAAATTATATAATAAATTACTATATAGTTTATATAATTTTGTGAATATGAAGTCACTTGATTTCACGGACATCCATGTTCGCGAAATTATATAATAAATTACTATATAGTTTATATAATTTCGTGAACGTGAAGTCACATGACTTCACGGACATCTATGTTCACGAAATTATATAATAAATTACTATATTATATAATTTCGTGAATATGAAGTCACATAACTTCACGGATATCCATATCTGCGAAATTATATAATAAATTACTATATTATATAATTTCGTGAACGTGAAGTTACATAACTTCATGGACATCCATGTCTGCGAAATTATATAATTTCATAGACGTGAAGTTACATAACTTCATAGACATCTATATCTGCAAAATTATATAATTTCATAGATATGAAGTCACATGACTTTACGGATATCCATGTCCACAAAATTATATAATAAATTACTATATTATATAATTTCATAGACATGAAGTAACATGACTTCACAGATATCTATGTTCATGAAATTATATAATAAATTACTATATAGTGATAGTTTGAGATACATTATATAATTTTGTGAATATGAAGTCACATGACTTCATGGATATCTATATTTGTGAAATTATATAATTTCATAGACATAAAGTCACATAACTTGAAAGTGGCAAATAATTTTTTTTTTTGGCACACACTCGTATATTTATACACTTGACTACCTTAGCATGTTGATTAAAGATTGATGTCTTGTTTTATATAATTGTTCTGAACATGAACAATTACATAAAATCAGATATCAATTTTCAATCAACATATTAAAGTGATCTAGTGTACGCTAAAAAAAAAATTTATTTAACATTTTCAACCATTTTGAAAAAGCAATAATAATAATAATAAGAAGAATAATAATAATAATTTACATGCTATTTTTAACTATTTCGAAAAAGTGATAATAATAAAAAAACAATTAAAAGTATATATTTACTATATAATTTGATTTAAATCTATCTAATTATAGCTATTTGAATAGTATTGTTCATAATTTGCATTTTATTGAATTTTATTTAATATATCAAAAAAGACTATTTATTTTATGAAATCTATTTATTTTATGAAATCTGAATCTGTTTTGGATCTAGTTCTGCTAGTCTTTAAAAAGTTCAGTTCAAGCTTAGCCCAAACCTATTTTTTGTTAACCACTTAATATTTTATCTATTTTATATTAAATCGACAAGGTTCATGTGATAATATTATAATAATTCATGATCATTAATCAAGTCGTGTGTTATTATGATATTATCACATAATCTACAATTTTGAAGACCACCTTGGTCGATTCTTTTATTTTATTTTTCTATTTTCTAATATTTAAGGTTCTTTTTTGGTCATTTAAAAAAAAAAAAAAACTATCAAGAACAAATTTAATTTTTGAAAAAAAAGTAGTCGTTTTATAACTATTATCGAAATGGTTAAAAATAATTAAAAAATTTATTTGATTTTTTTAAAGAAAAAAGGTAGTTTTTTTATATTTTTTATGATTAGTATCAATATACTCGAATATTTGATTACTTAGATATAAAGATTAAAGACTGATACAGTGTACGTATAAGGTTTTTGTTCTGAAAATATAAAAACATAATTACTATGTTCTATGATATCTTTTTTTTTAAACAAAGACCTTATAATACTAATGTAATTTATTAATATCGTACTTAAGTAATTAAACAGACTAATTATTATTGTATGTACAAATTGTTAGAAATAATAATATATCAAATTTTATTATTTCTGATAATTGAGTACTTTAGAACTTGCAATTGTTAAACTAACTTTGAGATCTGTGAAATAGGAATAAACCAGAGCAGCTCTCTAAAGTGCCAGTGATATAATCATATCGCAGCCACAGTATATATATTGTAATATTGAATTACGTACATACAATTGTTATCTAAAACAAGTGATCTATGATATACAACTAGAAGAGAACCAATAAGTTGTACTAATTGGTATTACGTCACTAGCACTTTGTATTATTTATTATATGATCTTGCAGACATGAATGTCCATGAATCTATGATATAATATATACTGTGTAATAACAAAAATTTAAATGATAATATATAACTAAATAATAATAAGTTTAAATTTATTATGGTGTGATAATTCTAACTAACTTTAAAATTATTATTATCTATAATAGATTTATTATTTATTACATGTTCTTGCGGACATTTATGTCTGCGAATATTGTAAAAAAGTGGATCTGGGTGACTAGTGCTAGCAACCTAAAACACACAAAACTCAGGTTAATCGAAAAAAGGTGTGGAAGATTTGGTTCGAAAACCAAAAGTCAAGAATCCTATTGCTATTAGGACCCTTGGAACTTAACACTACGATAGTCTTTATTATATAATATTTGTAATACTTTACTTTACTATTCTATGCTATACTACTTTTCAGTTATGACATGAATTCAATAATCATTTATACATTACATATGGCATTGGGGCTTTGCTACTATGATAAGTATCTCTAAGCAATATGATTATTTAAAGTATTGTGGGAATTCTATGACTAACGATAAGCAATTCATACAACATACATATTATGATATAGATTTAAACTTATAATAATGTAATAATATTACTTTGTAAAAATCTTATATTTTCATAATAATAATAATATATCCTAGATCTAGTTAATAATATAGGTTAGTAAGAGAAATTTTCATAATAAATTGCAAATTTTATTTCTTACTAGTATATACTATTAACGAGCTATTAATGAAGCATTTTGACAGAGTAGAAACAATTATTAATTCTCTCTACTCTGTCAAAAAAAGAAATAAATTTGAGATTTATTATAAAATTTCTTTTTAACGACTTTATATAAAATATTTTGCCACTATCGCAAAAATGTAAGATTTTTATATAGTCACATAATTAACTTTTAAACTGATTTTTATAAAATAACATATATACCGTAGAATTGCTTAAGTTTATAATTAATTTAGTAAAATATAATTATATAATATAAATATGTTGACAATAGAGTGTCCAGGGTCTGCAGCAGCAGAATCTGTGCAAAATTCTGCTTTTGATGCAGTTCTGCCTGCTCAAGCAGAAATAAATGATTAGAGAATATAGTATATTGTGATAAAATTAGAATTTTCTTTTTGTCGTAAGTTTGTTGTGATTTTGTTTTTAAAGCATTATTTATATGCTGCTGCAGAATTCACAAATCTAACAGTAATTGTAGCAGAATTTGTCAGTTAGAGAAGCAGTCCCCTGGATACTCTAGTTGGTAATGATATAAGTTTTTAAACTTTTTATAGCAGACAATAGTAAATTATGCCTAATTAAGTTAGCAAAATATAATTGTCTAATTATTCATATCAATATATATACATTTATAATGTTTTTAGAAAGAAAAAAAATTTTTTCGCAATATGTCAGAAGAAATCGAAAACAATACAATCAACTTTCTTTGGAAAAACAACAGAAATATTTCAAAGATTTTTTTCAATCATGAATCATATATTGCGACTATTACTTTAGTTGACAACTCTGTCAGGACTGTAAATTTAGATATACTAGATTACAATTTGCCAAATAGTAAAAATAGTAATAATCAAATAATTATACATTAATAACCTACAATCTAATGAGCATATAATTTCATCAAGTAGAAATAAACTTGTTTAAGTAAATTCTAATTATTTATATTAAATTATTAATATATATCAATATATTCTAATAATTATTCAATTAATAGTATAATGAAATAGATAATTCATCAAGTAGTAATTTCACTAATCAGGTATTAATAAATTTTAGTTAATTATACTAATAGATACAAAAAAATAATTAATTCTAATATTTAAATTCTACTAATTTTAATTAAAAGCATAGTGAAACTGAAGTTCTTGGTATTACTATTCCAGTAAAGTATATTTATTGACAACAAATATTTATTACTAATAGCATAATGAAGCAAGAAGTATTAAAATATTGAATAATAATCAGCATAACAGTTTAAAACATAACACGCCAGAAACTTTTTATGAAAATAACCAAGTTTTAAAACAAACAGTATATAAATATAAATTTTTTTGTTCTGTTTAATTAATCACTATTTTCAAAATAGTTAAAAATAACTGGTATTTTTTTTGTAAATATCACAAATTTACTTTTTCTTTAGTGTATATTAGTTGATTATCAAGATACTTTAAGTTTCTCATCAGATTTTATTCCAAGTTTCTTATCAACTTTAAATTTAAGAAATATAGTTTGTCATATCTATCAATACTGTTTTATTAATTTATAAAAATTAATTATTTTTATTTAATTAATTATATCAGACATGTTTGAACATTCAACTGAAAATGTAACAAGTCCTATATGTATATCAGATAATGAATTAGCATCAAATATAGAATCAACATCAGATAATTCAAATAAAAATAATGCAGAATCATCATCAGATAATCCAAATAAAAATACTACAGAAGATTCAGATCTAAATAGTAAGTTTTAATATATATTTAATTTAAGTTTATTAAAATTTTAATTATATTAAATATGATGGTTGATGCTGAAGTTTGGCTGATATTAAAGCTAAAAAATCTGATTGGTTAGGGTTAGAGTGATCTGCAAAATTTAGCCAATCAGATTTTTTAGCTTTAACATCAGCCAAACTTTAGCATTAGCCATAATATTAAATAATCTTTTAGATACAGATAGTATTATTATTAAAGCCCAGTATCTAAAACAAACTTATATGAATACTATTCAAGAAGAGTTGACTATATACGATAATAAACTTTTTTTAACTAACTCAGTCGAAAGTTTTCTTACAACTAACTTTGATCACCTATTTTTCAATAATAGTAATGAAGTCAGTTATAATCTATCTCAAGAATTACCAACTTATTCATTTCAAGATATTGAATCAATATATAAGTATCTTGAAAGTTGGTTTTCTTTATTCAATAATCTTGAATTGGCAAAACATTTAATTGAGGAATCCAGGTTGTATATGCTTTATAATTTACATATGCCTTTTGTAGCACTTGCAGTAACATACACGATGAAATACAAAGAAGATAATAAAGTATTTCCAGACCATTTAACTTTATGTAGTCTTATTAGTAATAAAGTACAAAAACTTTTTGGAATAGTTAAAAAACATAAAAGACGCTATTGGTTAGGGACTTGGCGGTTAATTGAGTTGCTTCATGTAACTCAATGCCCTGCTAAGATTCTCATTAAATCTGGACTTACGGCAAATTTTTTAATGTCTTCAACTTATGTAGATTATAATAATTTTTTTAAAAATCTTTTAAATAATGAGAATATTTTTTATAAAAAACCAATATTTGAAGTATCTGTAATACAAAAAATTATAGACCTAGGTATAATTATCTGATCTAATGGATATTGATATCTGTAATATCATGTATATGTTAAATATAATTTTTTAATCACATTTCATATTAAATTTTATATTAATATTTAAATTTATACGTAGCAATTATAACTTTATATTTTATATATTGATGTATAGTCTGTACTAAGACATGAAACCTAATAAAATCTTTAATTTGTTACTATATTTTTTCTATAATTTAATATTTTTATACAAATTAATAGAAGTGTTTTTTACTTAGTTATTAAGAAATGGTATGTTCTATTTGTATACGAGATATATGTTAAATTTTCTGTCATGAAACCAAATTTTTAGCTTTTAACAAAAAAATTTATTGCAAAATTTGGTACAAACTAATTTTCTTCCTAATTCAAATCTATCTTTAATCTAACTATAAGCAAGGGTTTAATTTTTGTTTGTAAAAATTGGTTTGATTAGCATGTTACATGAATTTGCAAATTTAAAATTAATAAACCTTGTATATAATCTTAGTAATATTATTAGCAAATTAAAAAAAATATAGTATCAAATATTTTATATCAATTAATAAGTAAGTTTTAATACATATGTACCAATTAATAAAATGAAATTAAAAGTATTTATATCAGTATAAGGTAAAATATATCTTTACGAATTTAAAATTTATTAAAATTTCTAGTAGTAAAATTTATTAAAACTATTACTAGCTATAAATTTTATTTTAAAATAAGTAATACATTTTCCTTCATCTATTTAAATTTTAAAATAAAAAAATTGCAAATTAACTTATGTTTGCACAACTTTTATTAGTCGGATACTATAGCCATAGCAAAAAAAGATTGGATCATATGATAAAACAGATAATCAAAATTAAAAATATTAAGATTTTGTAAAAATTTCAAGATTCTAACGAAGATTTTTCAGTAAATACTTGATAATTTCAGTAAAATTCTTATTTTTAATTCTGTACTTTGTAGATTAAAAATAAAAAAAAATTAATCGAATTGGGTTAGATAAATATTGAGAAATCTTCAATAAAAAATTTTAAAAATACTGTAGTTGAATATCAGAAATACTAAAAAATCATATAAATTATCTTTTTTAAACTTTAATGATGATTCCTCAATGCCTATTGATTCAAATTTGATGACATTTTTTTATTTTAATTCTGTAAGTTTATAGAATTAAAATAAAGTAAAAAAATTTATTGAAATTGAATAGATTTTTTTTGAAAAACTTCACTAAAAGTTTTAGAAAAAATTATCACAGCTTCTTTTTTATAGATACCTAAACTTTGAATGAAGATTCACTTGATCAAATTCGATTAAATTTATTTTATTTTATTTTATTAACTATAGAATTAAAATAAAATAAATTTAATTGAATTTGATCAGATAAATCTTCATTCAAACTTTAGTTATCTATAAAAAGAAGCTGTGATAATTTTTTCTAAAACTTTCAGTGAAGTTTTTCAAAAAAAATCTATTCAATTTCAATAAATTTTTTACTTTATTTTAATTCTTAATCCATTTGATTCATCTTACAAAAACAAATCAAATGATACATAAAATTATTCGATACTGATCAATGGATTGCAAAATAATTACACAAAGACTCTTTAACAGAAAGCAAGTAATATTGTGGCTGATTGTTATAAAATATTGTTTTGTTAATTTATATTAGTCTATCATTCTATCACTTTATTCTCCTGACCATTGAAGTTACTTCACACTAATAAAAACTGTGAAAACACAAATTAACTTGATTTTTTTTTTATATTAGAATCAAATAGATAAAAAATTATATTATAATAAAATAAAAATTGTAATTAGTAATATTTTAATGAAGGTTTATTATATGCAAAGTTTTATAAACTTTAATTCCAACAGAATATCTTCTTTCACCTTATGATATATAATATATTAAAATAAAAATAAAATAATACAGTATATATGATTATTAAGATAATATATATACAATATATAGTATTAAAATAAAAAAAGATAATATATATATGAATAAAAAACAATTTAAATATCCTCATCTACATTAATTCTTTGTCGTTTTTTATTATTTTCTACTTCTAGATTTTGCTGTTTGCACTTTCTAATTTCAGGTTTAACTGTCTAATCAGGAGCATCTGTTGAAAATACTGGATCTTTAATATAATAGATTTTATCATTATACTATTTTGACTAGTGTAAAGATGCTATACGGTATGCTACTGGATCTAGCACTTTTCGTAAAAGTTTTTTTAACTATTAATTATAGTAAAAGCAATAAGAAAATATGCAAAAAAATTAATTTTATTAAACTCTGATTATAACACTATACCTCGTCTGACCTCCAGGGCAAATTATAACAGTTTATATATTTATTATTATTATTTTCATCATTATCTTCTACATCTGATATTTCTAGAGAGTGTATGTCACGTGAGCATATAAGAACTTTTAGTTCTTCAGAATTATATTTTTTAACTAATTTGTTTTCTGTACTTTGCAGAAAATTTAATGCTTTTGCATGTCGCAATAATTTCTACAAAATAATATTAATTATTTATAAATTTAAATAAATTTTAAAATAATTAGCAAATAACATACTTCAGAGTGATGATTGTTTTTATAAGTTCGTTTTTTAAAATAAGTATATTTTTTGGATTACTTTTAGTTTTTAACAAGTTACTCTGTAACTTATGTCTTTGCTGTAAAATTTGTAACAAATATTCATTTGTTATATTATATTGAAGTACCAGGTCTTGTAATAATAGAATTGTATTTTTGATAATCTATTTTTCTTGATCACATCAAGGTTTTTTGATATTAAAACTATATTTTAGCCTTTTTTCTTTTAATACTTCAAATATTTTATGCTATATATAATTTTAAAAAAAATTAATTTAATTGAAAAAAGTTTTTTAGAAATTATACAGTAATTAAATTTAAAATTTTACTCTTAGTTCTTTTTAATTGATTTAATCTATATTTTTTGAATCTTATTTAAAGATTGTATATCATTATGTTCTTCTTCAAGACTTTGAATCTTGTCTTCTAATTCATATATATAACATTTATAGTTTTCTATATCCACTTCAAGACTTTGAACCTTGTTCTCTAATAGATTTATATAATTTTCACAATTATTTGTTAGATTTTGCTATTGTAAAGCATCTTTATAAAAAAATAAATTATTAATATATATATTATGAAAAGTTATATTCATAACACCAGTGTTATATAGCACCTTATACTATATCTCAAAAATATACTAAATAAACAGGATCGAGTATTTAAAGTAAAATGTTTAGGACTCCAAAAAACTCTCAAAAGCTAAAATCGGGATCTTATAAGACCTTATATCTAATATACATTATATTATATAAAATCTTCTATTTATATTAAAGCCATACCTCAGTCTAAATCTAAAACTCTAATTCAGACTATATAGATATTATATAACATGAGTATTATGAATATATAATATTTTATATATTATAACCAATTTGAGTGTTAGATTTTTACCATTAAGTTTATAAATTTGATTTTTTAGTATATTTATATATTTAGCATCACTTGTATTTTTTAAAGATGAAGATCATGAAGATTTTGGTTTTTGATATAAAGATAATGTTTGGAAAGGTTGTGATTTTTGATATAAAGGTGAAGATTTGGAAGGTTGTGATATTTTGTGTAGATCTGAAGATTGAGAAGGCCGTAATAAAGATTGTGATGAAGATCGTGAAGGTAAAGATGAAGATGATATTTGATATAAAATTGAGATGAAAGTAAAGATTACAAAAATCAAAAAATTTATCTTTTTATATAAGTTTTGTTATTAGATAAAGATTATAATATTAATTGCGAAATCAAAAAAAATGAAATAATTTAGCTTCTTAGCTTTATATTAATTTTGTTAGCAATACAATTTACAAATATTTTATATTCTTATTAATATAGTTTTGAATACATTGAAACATTATTTAATTTTAGAAAGATTCTGCTAAAGTAGTCATAAGAATTTTAATATATCAAATTTATGAACAATTATAAAATTAAAAGCAAGAATAAAATGATATGATTATCACAGTTTTCAAAATGTTTAAAAATAGATAAAAAAAAATTGAAATAATAAGTAAATCAAACATTATTCTTCAATCGATGTGCTAAGGTAGTTTGAATATAAGTGTACTCGAAAAATTTTTTTTATCTATTTTCAACCATTTTGAAAACTGTAATAAATGCTGCTATTCAATTAAAAAACTAAAACTTATTACATAAATATAGCCTTCCAAGGATCAGTTATTTGACAATTACAAATTCTAATGTAATTGAAAACTATAATTGATAAAATTGATTACATTATAATTTGTAATTGTCAAATGACTAACTCTGGAGGAGGCTATATTTATGTAATAAGTATTAGTATCCTTATGTGATATTTAATATATATAAATATATTATTAGTTTGGAGTGAAGCGAAGAACTATCTTTTTATGCAAGTTGGTCACATCATATAGAAATTATCTAATCAAATTGAATATATAAATAAGTATATTTATTTCAGTAGTAATTGGATTCAAATACTTAAACAGATATTCACTTTAAAAAATATCTATCTGGATATTATCTGATTTTAAACTTATTAAATCAGATTATATCTGAATTTTACTACTAGTTTTTTTTTATAAAGCTATATTAATGATAGTGAGGGTTTAAAATTATAACTATACTACTTTACAACAAAATGGAATTCCTCTTCTTTATTAAATAGAAGTTTTGTTTTATATATTTTGATTAATATAAAAGAACACTTTCTGAAATCTACTAAATTATATCAGAGGCACACGCTATCATATTAGTTTAGTGTCAGTATGCATGCTACTTCATATAGAGAGCTTTAATAATCACGACACTAATTTAGTTTGATGTTCAATTATCATTATAAATAAAAAGATTATAATTATCGCTATTTTCAAAATCCTGTATCACTACACAATTGGCATCTAACTATGGAATCAATTG